TCTCACTAGTCTATTAATCCCATGGCCAGCAGTGGATGGTTAACATAAAACAAACTCAATGGTATTTTTGCAGACCTTTTGTTTTGTATGGCTTTGCTTGGACAATTTTTGTCTCACTGGTCATTTGCTTGTATATTATGGTGTCTAGTCTTGTGTTTTTATGGTGTGTGTGTGTGTGTGTGTGTGTGTGCGTGTGTGTGTGTGTGTGCTGTGTTGTGTTGTGTGTTTGAATGTGTGTACATGCGGTGTAGGAGTTCCTTCTGTTTGTGTGTTGCTTTCATTGGTTAATGAATAAAGAAACTACCTTGGTCTAGTTGATAGGGTGGAACTTAGGTAGGCAGAGAAAACAGAACTGAATTCTGGGAGGAAGAAAGCAGAGTCAAGGAGAGCTGTCATGGAGCTGCCAGAGTCAGACATGCGGAATCTTTCCCGGTAAGCCAATGCCACATGGCAATATACAGATTAATAGAAATGGGTTAAATCAAGATGTGAGAGTTAGCCAATAAGAGGCTAGAGATAATGGGCCAAGCAGTGATTTAATTAATACAATTTCTGTGTGATTATTTCAGGGCTAAGCTAGCCAGGTGACCTGGAAGAACAAGCAGGTCCTCCTACAACATACGTATGTTTATGTGTGTGTATTTCTTGTGTTTTTTTTCTTTTTAAATCTTGTTTGTTTGGGGTTGTGTTTGCTTATTTGCCTGTTTGTTTTCTTTAAAAAGAGAGAGAGGGAGAGAGAGAGAGAGAGAGAGAGAGAGAGAGAGAGAAAGGGCATGGAGTTGGGTGGTGGAGAGGATCTGGGAGGAGGTAGAATTATAATCAGAATATATTGTATAAAAAAATTTCAATAAAAATATATTGATAAAAATAAAGAGCTACCACCAACGTTACTCAAACTTTCCCATTAAAAATGGAATAAAAACTTCCAAACTAAATTTGCAGAGGCCATACTGTCCTGGTACCAAAAACATATAAGGACACAATGAAAAACAACAATTCTCAAACAAATTTCCCTAATAAATTTAAAGGAAAAAACTCTCCAACACGTACTTTCACATCTCAAGGACACATTCAGATGATGGTGTGCTATGACCTACTTGGGTTCACTCCAGGACTGCAGGAGTGACTCAACCTGTGCATATTAATAACTGTAAAGTAGCTCACGAACAGACTTAATAGGAGGCATGAATTTAAAAGTTCATTGCAATTCCCGATAACCACTAATAACAAAAATTACATTCACAAAAAGAACAAAAAGGGAATTAACGTGGTAGACTGGCAGAAGAAAAAAGCAAACATAAAGGAAGACAGTAATAGAACAACTGAGACCTTGATGATAGAAAGCAGATTGATTGCAAAGTGAAAGAAGGCCTTCCTCTTCCAAGATCAATTTAAATATGAATAGACTTAAATTCTTCAAATAGAAGAAATAGTTTGTCAGAATGGATTTTAGAAAAAAAAAAGATACAACTGTGTGCTGTCTACCAGAGACTCTTCTTGGTTCTAATATTGCAAATGTGTTGAAAGTGAAGGTGTGTGAAAAGACCACACACACAGTGACCAAGGAGAGCTTGCTTGCTATGTTAATATCAGACAAAATAAAATAAACCTTACGTCATAAACTGTTACAATAGTCAAGCATTTTATATACTGATAAAATGGTCAACTAAACACAAAGGCAGAGGAATTGTAAACACATGTGTTTTATGGAGTTCTGCTGACTTCAAAACGTGAAATAATCTTAACAGATCTGAAGGGGGGAAATCGCGATTTTACAAAAACAGTTGGGGATTTCAATACCTCAACCTTCAACAGTGGTTAGAGTAGTTAAACTAGTCAATAAGCAACTACATAGTGAAACAGATACCTCACACAGGAAAGCCGTAGGAAATACACTCTCCTCTCATGGGCCATATCCTTACACAGTGGTGTGTTGGGACACATAACAAGCCTTCGTACATTAGAAAAGAGCAAGTCATGCAAAGCGTCCTCTCAGAACACATGAGAATGAAGCTAGGACTGAATCAGGAAAACTTGAAAGCACGTGAATGTTTACAAATTAACAAATTTCTAGATATCATTCCAAGTCAGAATTATTAAGGGAATGTGAGACAATACTTTGATATAGGTAGAACAAAACACAACACAGCAAAAAGCTATGGGTGCAGAAAGAGCAGAGTAAAATGTGTGGCTACAAATATCTACACTACAAAAGAAAGACCTCAAACCAAAAACCATTGGAAATAAGTCTACAGACCCATAGATATGACGTACATAGATGTCATATATACATTTTAATAAAAATGGTGTCTTTAATATTAAGGAAATGTTTTCTTTATGGTACTTTTTCTATGATGGAAAAACAGAGACACAGACTGATAACTTTTTGAACGTTCAAGCCCTAAGACAGTTTATCACTTATGCTAATATAGTGTCCATTTCTTCCATATTGTCTTAAATATGGCAGATCATTTATAAATTTTTATTCAGCATACATTTTTTGGGCTACTAGTTTGTTTTAGGCACTTGTTCATAAGTGGCTTTATGTCGACGTCCCTAGAGTTCTCTCTCTGTTCCTGTATTTGCAGCCAGGTTCCCACTTGACCCCAAATATTGGCTTTTAAACTTTAAATCTCTAATTGTTAAATGCAATTAAACTTATGGCAGTAGATGGTCTGACCTCACACGTGCATTATTTGAGGATTATTTCAGAGGAGGGATGCAAATCTTAAAACCTGGTGGTCACTGGCCACCACTGCCAAGTGCAAATTCTCTATCGGTCAAACTATTTCTTTTGGTATATTTTCACACTTTGTTTTCTTCCTTTCTGGAACTCTGGCTTGGCCTTCTCATCTGAACACTGGTTTTGTTCTAAGACGACCTGACAGTATGCCTTTCGAACCCGCTCTCCCTGAATCTTCCCGTGGTCATTCCAGCAACTGATCATTCGTCTAACTCTGCAAGAAAGTGACTCACAAGCTACACAGCATGACTGTGACAAGGTTAAGTCAGACCCCAAAGCAGTGTGAATTTAATTTGTTGGCCATAGTAGTCTACCCTCTCAGGTGTGGGCCCCTCATGGTGTTTAGGGAGAGGTGTTGGTTATAAGTGTGGAACCTGAGAATGGTACCTAGACCCCAAACTGCCTAAGCCTGCCTGGAAAACAAAACAAATAAAGAAAATACAAAAAGAGGAGTAGCTTTAGGCACCGGTAAAAACCATAAGACCCCATTGCTAGGATGTTGCAGAATATTAGTTAAAGATGTGTTACATTTGTTTATGCTGTAGAAAATTTGTTTAATGATGCAAAGATGTGTTGCATTCCTTTATGTTACATTTGATTAACTCTGTGAAGCTGTGTTACTTTGCCTGCCTAAAATACCTGATTGGTTTAATAAAGAGCTGAACATCCAATAGATAGTCAGGAAGAAGGATAGGAAGGGCTGACAGGTAGAGAGAATAAATGGAGCAAAAATCAGGAAACAGCAGGGTCAAGGCGCGAGAAAAGAAGAGAAGGATACTAGAGGCCAGACACCCAGTCACACAGTCAGTCACAGAGTAATAGTAAAAGTAAGATATACAGAAGTCACTGAGAGAAACAATTCAGGACCTCCTGAAACTGAAAAGCATCTGTAAAGCAAAGAATACAGTCAACAAGACAAAATGGCAGCCTACAGAATGGAAAAACATCTTCACCAACCCCATATCAGATAGAAGAATGATCTCCAAAATATACAAAGATCTCAAGAAATTAGTCATCAAAAGAACAAATAATCCAATAAAAAAAGTGGAATACAGACCCAAACAGAGAACTCTTAACAAAGGAATATAAAATAGCTGAAAGACACTTAAGGAAATGCTCAACATCCCTAGCCAACAGAGAAATGCAAATCAACTCTGAGATTCCATTCTTACATCTGTAAGAATGGCCAAGATCAAAAACACTGATGACAACTTATGCCGGAGAGGTTGTGGGGTAAAGGAAATATTTCTGCATTGCTGGTGGGAATGCAAGCTGGTACAGTCCCTTTTGGTGTCAATGTGGTGATTTCTCAGAAAATTAGGAAACAACCTTCCTCAAGACCCAGCAAGACCACATTTGGGTATATACCCAAAGAATATTCAATCATACCATATGGATATGTGCTCAACTATGTTCATAGTAGCATTACTTGTCATAACCAGAACCTGGAAACAACCTAAAAGCCCATTGATCAAAGAATAGATAAGGAAAATGTGGTACATTTACACAATGAAGTACTACACAGCAGAAAAAAATAATGCCATCTTGAAACTTGCAGCCAAATGGATAAATCTAGAAAATATCATATTAAGTGAGGTAACCCAGACCCAGAAAAACAAATATCATATGTACTCATTCATAAGTGGCTTTTAGACATAAAGCAAAGAAAACCAGCCTACAATTCACAATCCCAGAGAACCTAGACAACAGTGAGGACCCCAAGAAAGACATATACTAATTTAATCTACATGGGAAGTTGAAAAGACAAGATCTCCTGAGTAAATTGGGAGCGTGGGAACCATGGAAGAGGGTTGAAGTGGAGGGGAGAGGTAAGAAGGGGAGCAGAGAAAAATGTACAGTTCAATAAAATCAATTTAAAAATATACAGAAGTAAGGAAAGGAAAAAGCCCAGAGTAAAAAGGTATACAGAATAATTTAAGAAAAACTGGATAGAAATAAGCCAAGCTAAGGCTGGGCATTTGTAAGTAAGAATAAGACCCCTGTGATTTATTTGGGAGCCAGGTGACAGCCCCTCAAAGAATGAAGAACCAAAAGAGTAAGAGTTTGAAAAACCAGCTAGGCAATGATGGAGCCAGACGGCTGTCTATGGGCTTCGCCTCTTTTCAGGAGACATCTCTTACTCACACCACAGTTACCATGGGCGATAGTTTTTCTTTTGATGGTGATTGTTGTTCAGTCAGCAGGAAAGCCACCTACCTACTCTGAGCTGCCTCAGCAGAGGCAGAACAAAGCCCAAGAGAATCACAAGTTCATGGAAGGTTGCCTAGACAACCAAACTCAGGCCCCACCCACAGTGCCTGGCAACCAAGGCCAGTCAGAGGTGCAGCAGAAAATGGATACGCCTCCACAAGAGGCTCCAGATGGATCCTTGAACTATGAAAACACAGACAACGGATCTGAACATGCTGGGGTTGGATCATCCGAGCAAACTGGCGGCAAAGCATCCAGCCAAACTGCTAATGCTGGGTCTGAACAGACCGACCAAAGAACTCCTGAAGAGGCTTTTCAGTTGACTGACCACAGGAGAACATCTCAGCAGGCTGACCGCACATCATCTAGTCAGGCTGAGAGAAGAACTTCTGAGCTACCTAATCAGCCATTGCCCAGTTTGCTTGAGGGAAAAGCCTCTGAGAAGATAGATGATCAAGTGTCGTTGCCCTCTGGTGGGAAAGCTTCTGAGAAGACTGACCAAGAATCTTCGGAGCGTGATGAGCAGACTTCATCAGACCAAGATGACTATAAGACATCAGAAAAGAGTCAACACGAAGTCTACAACCAAGATGACTTCCTAGATGAAGATGACCTTGATCAACACAGGTTGAGTGAGGACAGCAACCGAATTAGCCACGAAACAGACAAACAGGCTGACCACCGCTCATACTACAGAACACTTGCCCAGGCTGAGAACCGCACATTATCTGAAATTGGTGACAACAAAGAGATCAAAGAAGCTGACTTCAAAATACAGCCTTGCACATTTGAAGATAGCCAAACGGACAACACATCTGATGAGGAAACAGAGAGTACAACCACTACCCAAGCTTACAACCTACCTGATACTGAATTCACCAGCGAGTCCCAGTCCTCCTATGACAAACTGCCCTCCATCACCAACAAAGTGTACCACACCTCCAACCAAGACAAAATTCAGACCACAGAAATCACTACTGTAGGTAAAAGGGACATCTGATGTCTGCCTGGGAGGTTGGAGGACAGGACAGGACCTGTGGTGTTAGGAACAAGAACACGGGGGCAGAAAGATGCAGGTTAAATCAGAGATGAGGAATAAACCTGTGTAATGTCTTAGGTGCTATCCATCGGTTTCAGGAAGGGTGTGAAACAAAAGAGATGTGTTGCCTCCTGGTTTTCCTCTGGACACTCAGGAAGGATCGGTGGAGCCAGGATTTAGGAAACCTGGTTTCAGGTTCTGCTCCTAACTCTCTGTCACTCTATCACTTCCCACGATGGGTGTCTACCATAGCAAGGACCACTCAATCACTTCCCACGATGAGTGTCTACCATAGCAAGGAGATGTGAAGTTAACTGCAAATCCCTGTGTGGGAGAAAGTATTTGAAGTAGAGAAATCTAAGATATCCTCCCACCAAGTTTTGAGGTACTTTGTAGTGCTTAAGGATGAGTCGGCTCTGCCAAAGAACTGGCTCTGAGGATCATAGCAGTTCATGGTTACTGGGACAGATACATTCTCTCCTTAGTGTAAGCACTGGTAGCTTACCCAAGCTTCTGTAAATAAGCTTTGATCCAGGCTCTTGTAAGGAACCCTTAAAGGTCATTAGTCTCTCTCTCTCTCTCACACACACACACACACACACACACCATGAAAGTAGCACAACTAGTATCTTTCTTAATTCTCGGTGTTAAATCTTAATTCTTGGCTTTAAATTTCATTAAATCTAGATCCTACTGATAACGACAGCAAAAAAAGTGTTATTACTTTTAAATTTATTTTCTAAAAAAGATAAATCTTTGGGGGACTATTTCAATTTCAGGATATTCTTACAGACTTTGAGCAAAGAAAGAGTTCTCAGAGACCAAGTCAAACTTACGGGAGGCGATTCCCTCCAATCATTTTTGAAGACCCTTATCAAGTTGCACTCCGCTACATGGAAAAGCACAACATTCTTCAGATATTCCAGGTAGAACTCTTAATTCTTAACCTTTCTTCCTGGTTGTGGGCTATTTCAGAAATTAGTGTTTTAACCAAAAAGAGTAGATGAGAAATACCAAGCCAATGATACTGTGACATTAAGTTCATCGAAAGCATTGGAGACCATGTAAGATAGTTGTTGGGGTAGACTTTGGCCAGTAATTATCATTTTAGTTTTAAATAAGTGTATAAGAAAAAAAAAGCAAAAAAAAAAAAAAGAAAAACAAAGTTTAAGGGCTTTTTAGAGCCGAGTCTTCAAAAGCAGACCATTCTCAGGACCACCTGAGAGCAACATTCTTCAGAAGGAAATGGTAGAAATAACTAATTCCTTCCAGTTCCTGGATTCATAAATCTCACTGATGCCAGGGTTTAGAACTAGAACTTCCTTTAAAGAGATTTCTTGAACCGTATAGAACTATGAGAGATTATTGCAGCTGTAATTTGGTTGTTTTGTTCACCAGGTACGTTTCTTTTATCCGATAAGCAACGCACATATCCGTCTATGACAGGGTGTGTTTGGAGTGACTGTTTAGACAGGTTAAAATTTGAGTAGTTTGCCTCTTATTCAAAATAGAAAAGTTTGAAGCAGTGTATAGAGCAGCGGTTCTCAACCTGTGGGTCCCCACCTCTGGGGGTCAAACAGCCCTGTCACAGGGGTTACTTCAGACCATTAGAAAACACCGATATTTACATCTTGATTCATTAGAGTAGCAAAGTTACAGCTATGAAGTAGTAATGAAAATGATTTTGTGATTGGGGGGTCAGCTCAACATGAGGAACTGTATTAATGGGTCGCAGCATTAGGAAGGTTGAGACCCATTGAGACAGAGGGAGGAACAAATGCCTTGCTCTATGAGCACCACTGTTCAGATTCTAAGTTGGTCACACCTTCATAAGTTGAGGACATTACTTAGCTTCTATGGCTCTCAGGTTCCTCATATAAAATAGGGATTTGAAATATCTATTTCATTCGCTCTGCTTTATGATGTTTCCTTCTTAAAATATCCTCTGGTTTGTGCAGTATAAGTGGCCAGGTTTCTGCCTTTAATCAGAGAACCAGTAATTGCTAAACAAAACTAGGGAATATATTTAGGAAAGCAGAGTTCAGAGGCTGGCAAAATAGTTCAGTGGATTAAAGCCCTTGCCTTTTGATCTACTGAAGGCGTAAGTCACAAAACAATCCCACACCAGTTTGGAATTATGATTAATAAAATGGTCATTTATTTAAAGGGAAAAAACTTACAGATTGCCATCCCAGACAACAGCCCTCTGTGCCATCAGGAAAGGAGTCGCGGAGCCGGAGGCAAGACAGCGAGCACACGGCTACTGCTGCTTTTTTAAGCAAGGGAGACCACGCCCAAGTGGGCTAGTATCTTTAAGGTTATTGGCTGAAGGAGCAGAAGGAGCTCCCGCAGCACCTCCCTCTAAACCCAATACAAAACAATATACACTAGGAACAGATATTAAGTATAAGATTAGAATTACAATCAGCATAAACAATATTAAGCAAGGAACATACGCTAAGTGTTTTAACAAACATTCTATCCTATGGAGTCTACGGCTTGTACAGGAAATGGCTTGGCTGGATCATAAGAGGACGGTAACTATGACTATCTAATCTTCAACCCTATCGAAGGCCTGAGAACGGAGATAATGTTACTTGAGCAGGCAGGAAGTACAGTCAAGTAGCTTCCAAAGTGAGCAATATATGACAGAGACAATTAGCTACCTGAGCAATCACCTAAAGTCTCATTTTGCAACGTTGAAGCGACCAACTTTGGCTATGGCCTAGAATAACTGACAGAACATTTTCAAAGGCAAGAAATTTTTCAAAGCTGTCTTACCCTGTCTTGGCAAGATTTGACAGTACTGTTTATCCATTTCCGGATACTATTTCTTGTCAGTGGTTGAGGCATGGGCATTTCTTTGCCCAAAGGCCAGTTTTTGCCAAGAAGTTTTGCCAGGCTCCAAGTGAAATGTCTTTGGTGCTCAACATTCTCTCGGGAATAGATTGGTGCTGCCAGGAGCAATCATGTCTCATGTCAACAAAGCCCTAAGTTATTTAAATGCCATGTTCCACAGATCCTTGAAGTGGCTGAAGATTATCTATCTATGCAGAATATAATCTCTGTGTATCTAAGGAACCTGATTGGTCTAACTATAAGTATGACAAACATAAATGACTATTGATCTATAATTCTTAATACCTATCTAACTTAAAGTCTAAAACACTAAACAACTGTGCAATAAATGATGACAATGACCTCCAAATGTAAACAATGTTTAAGTATCTTGATCAGAGGTAGAAATATACACTGCAATATGGTAAATATATATATATATATCAATACATAAGAAATGTTTTAAACAGAAGTAGAAGCATGCATGCATACAATGTTCAATATAATTTAACTTTGTATCAATAATCTCCAAAGCTTTATGGCCAGAGTTCAATCCCCAAAACCCAGGTAAAGGTGGGAGAAGAGAACTGACTCCATAGAGCTGTTCTCCAAGCTCCCAGGCTGGACCAAGGTACATACACACACATGCACACACATACATACACACTAATACAACTTTCCTACATGTACCAAGGTACATACACACACACATGCACGTGCATACATACGCACTAATAAAAGCTCCCTGCATGGACCCAGGTATATAAACACACACACTCACACATGTGCATACACACTAATGCAAGCTCCCTGCATGTACCATGGTACACACACATACACACTAATACAAGCTCCCCACATACACACTAATACAAGCTCCCCACATACACACACACATGCACACACACACATACACACATATGCATACACCTACAAACACATGAATACAAGCTCGCTGCATGTACCAAGATACACACAGAGACATGCACACACATATATACACACTAATACAAGCTCTCCCGTGTACCAAGGTACACACACACACACACACACACACACACTAATGAAAGTTCTCCTCATGTACCAAAGTACACAGACATACACATGCACACGCATCCATACACACTAATGAAAGCTCCACACATGTACCAAGGTACACAAACATGCATACATGTACATATACACATTAAAAATAAATTTAATTTTTTAAAAAGTTTTGTCTATTCTATAATTTTTGAAATTAAAGAAAAAATAATGCTTATAAATGGAGTGTGATATTAAAGAAAATAAGTAATCAGATATATATATCGCTCAATAAAAATATATATGAAGGGGCTGAATATATAGCTCAGTGAGAAGATACTTGTCCCACATGCACAAGGTTTCCAGCACTATAAAATCAATTGATTAATTAATTTAATTAAAAACTTCAAGTATATCTATTGAATACAGAATTGAGTGATACAGATACATTTAGCATATTTAAATATGTTATTCCTGAGATGAACATGATTGTTATTCCCTGCAAATGAGATGCTTGCTTGCTTTGTGACAGCATTTTGAGTTATTCAATAACAGTAAAAGGTATGGAAGCTAATCTCATAAATCTGATACATCCTTCCTCATTTAATACTTAAACTAAACATGATTTTTATGTTTTAAAGTCAAGTATTTTGGACGATTATATGTAAATTCCCAGTGCCATTCTTTTATGCCCTTTTAAGAACTCTTTTTTAACTGTTTAAAGCAAACGATTTATTAACTGATCATCTAGCAACATCACAGTTCTCAAAAGCTTTGCGATTTTCCCATCACCTCTTTGGTCTTGGAAACAACCAATAAGATGCATTGCTCTTTAAATAAAACTTTTAGCCCTTCAAATTTGATCTTGATTTGCCTGATTTCATCCAAATAAAGAAAGTTAAGATATTTCTTGGGGATATGGGAACGCCTTTAGAATGGTTAGGGCAGTAGGAGCTGACTGCAAACCTCTTGGAACCAAGTGTGGTGTGTTGTGCTTTCTCTCAGCGGATCACTGAAAACCTAGTCTATGAAAAGCCGGATGACCCTCTGAAATTCATGCTAGACCAGGTATGGAGTGGGAGAGAACAACCCTTCTGTTCTTATTGTCGGAACGTGGCACACACAGAGACAGATGGACAAAACAGACCATGAACAGCTCCAAGCCATCATGAAGGAAACGTACTGCAGCTTCCATCCAAGAGTTTTTACTGAAGTCCAGAACAAATCTCGGGATGGGGGCTCACCTCCTGAATGCCGGTGCTCAGGGAGCAGAAGCAGGCAGATCTCTGTGAGTTCAAGGCCAGCTAGGACTACATAGTGAGACCTTGTCTCAAACTAGAAAAGAGTGGCTCAGCATCATAGAAGGCCCCCTCCTCATGAGTTCCCACACAGGAGTTGCTTATTTTGACCTCTCTAAGAGCTTGCTCACTCTGCTTTAAAATTTTACTGTCAAACATGAATCATGAAACCCTTTTGTTGAGACCTGTAAGCTCTCTGAACTGTCTTTGCTCAGAGCTGTTTTCATCTTCTCTCTTTTGTCCCAAATTCTGTCTGGAAGACGGAGCCTTCTGTTGCATGTAGCTGTTCATCCATTTTCATCTCTGCATGCTATCATCAGGTAGACTACTGCAGCTGATTCATCCTCTTTTCCAAGGACATGCAGAATATTTCCAATTTGGAGCTGTCACGAGAAACCTTGCAGTGAGTTTTCCCATCCGGGTCGTTCAGTGATATGTCACTCTTGGCTGTATACTTGAATTGCTGGATTGTAGAACATGTATCTGCTTAGCTTCAAATAGATTGTTTTCATTTTCCAACATGACTGTACCAATTTGCACCCCTCCCCGCGACAGCTCTGTAGCTTTACCAGTGTTCACTGTTGCCACCGTATTTAACCGTGGCTGTGCAGGTAAGCAGGTAGTAAAATTTACAGTGTCCTTTTGCCTTTTCCTGGCTGATGGGCATTGGCATGTTTTTCCATCTGTTTACTGGCCATTTGGAAACACTTACTTTTCTATAATGTTACTTCATGTCTTAGTCCTTAGCAACAGGCTTCTGTATGTTCTGGCTATGGGTGTTTGGTTAATCACATATGTTTGTATATCCCTCACTCTCTGTCTGACCCTCTATCTTTTGATGAGCAGAAAGTCTCAAGTTTAATACCAACTGTAACAATATTTTTTGCTTATGATTAATACTTCCACTGTCTTATGTTAGAAGTTTCGCCCACGTTTGACTATAGTTTCATAAATTACTCTATGTGTGTGTGTGTGTGTGTGTGTGTGTGTAAGATGAAGGGTTTCTCAGTTACCTTTCAAATCTATGTCTACAATCTTGAATCAGGTTTGTATATCATAGGAGACTGGGTAAAGATTCACTTCTTCCATTCATCCAGAAACCAGCCCCTTTTAGTAAAAGTCATAGTTTACACATTGACTTATATTTCACATATTTATTAATACTTGCTTCGAAATAAGACTCTTAATTATTGTGACTGGAATAACTCAGTACCTAGTAGAGAAAGTTTGCCCACTTTATTCTTCTTTAAAAATATCTCTGATATTCTTAGACTTCTATTTCCATGTTAGTTTTAAGAATTATTAATGAAGTTACACAAACGTATACTTCCATATACATACAAACACACACTAGTAGGATTGTGTGGTGTGTGTGTGTGTGTGTGTGTGTGTGTGTGTGGTTGGTTGGTTTTGGTCTCAACTGGGTCATTATTTGGGGAGAGTGATAGCTTTAAAATGAATGCTTTCCATCCTTCTTGGCCATTCATTTAGGTCTTAATTTCTCTTAGTACATTCACTATCTGCAAAGGCATTATACATGTATTTTAGTGGCTTCCTTGTGGGCATTTAATGTTTTTGATGCTAGTGTGTAACATGAAGGGAGCCTGCTTGTTTGGGGGTTTCTTTCTCGCCCGGCCCCCCATGGCTGTTTAGTCCCAAAGAAAAATCACACATGGATCTCTGTAAGTTATATAGCTGATTGGCCCATTAGGTCAGGCTTCTTACTGCCTAACTCTCTTATCTTGATTAACCCATTTTTCTAATCTATTTTAGCCATGTGGCTCAGTACCTTTTTCAGTCGGGCAGCTCACATCCTGCTGCTTCGGTGATCTGGGCAGGAGTGCTAGGAATCAACTTCCTCCTCCCCAGAATTCTCCTGCTCTCTTTGCATCATTTCCACTTCCTGTCTGGCTTCCCCACCTACGCTAGTGTATGTAGAAATTTTTAAAATTTGAGGATCTAACTAGCTGTCATGCAGAAATACGGTTTTGCTCTTCTTATAGTCATTAGCCTCACTGACTTTGACTTGATTCTAGTGGAGTATTTCCAGTATCTGTTGAAGCACTGGGGGTTTCCGCAGACACACGCACATCATCTGCGAGGAGTCTTTTGACCTTTCCCATCCTTCTTGCTCCCTTGTCTAAGCACATGTGGTGAAGGTCTTCTCTGTGATGCTTCACAGACATCTTCCTCTCTTCTCCTCCCTATAGAAAAGCTGGTCTATAGGAACTCAGTTAGGCTTGTATCCTGATTATCTGCTGGGCTAAGACCATGAGAAACCCTGGATGAAGAGCAGGAAGAAGAAGAAAGGCATGCTTAGGTTTATTACTGTGGCCTTCTTTGTGAGTACATGCTGATCTGTCTGTCTGAAGGCATCTTATTTTGCATGACTACTACCTTTTGGATTCCAATAATATTTAAATCCTACCTCAGTGTGTAGTGCACATGCATGCACATGAACACACACACACATGCACACACACACACACACACACACACACACACTTCAGGCCTAAAGTTACTTCTACTGTCTCTACCTTTGACTTCCTTGCTCCATATAACTCCCCTATATCTCTTTCTTTTTTAAGTATCCCCTTTGCCTTCACACAATTCTACTATGAATGTGTGATCTGTTTTTCTGTTCTGTTCTGGGATAATGACTGATGCAACACACGGGTGAGAGGCCTCCAAAATAATTAATGCTGGATGCAAGTACTTGCTTTGATTTACCTTATTTGCTCTTTCAAAAACTATTTTTCACTACTTCACTATTAAATATGATGTTCATTGTTTGTAACTGTCGTTGCTCATTTTAAATAAGTTTCCTTCTCATATATTTTCTGGGATTTTAAAATAAATTTTATCAAATTCAAAATCCTTTACTTTGCCTTAAGAGATGATTGTGTGAATTTTTTTTGTTCTTATTTTAGCAAAAGGGAGAATTTTTTTTCATTTTTAGAGCTTTTCAATCATACGTACAGAAAACATAGATCTGAAGGGGTCTTCCATGACTCAAAGCATGGAGCAGAGCCCAGAAAATCCATACAAATGCATAACTATTGTGGCAGCTTAAGTGAAAATGACCTCATAGGCTCACAGGGAGTGGCACTATCAGGAAGTGTGTTCTTGCCGAGTAGATGTGGCCTTGATGGAGTAAGTGTGTCACTAGGGGACGGACTTTGGGTTTTCAGATGCTCAAGCCAAGCCTGGTGTCTCTCTCTTCCTTCCTGCTGCCTGAGGATCCAGATGTACATCCTCTCTCAGCCCCTCTCCAGCTCCATGTCTGCCTGCAGGCTACCATGCTTCCCACCATGGTGACAATGACTAAACCTCTGAACCGTAAGCCAGACCCAGTTAAATGCTTTCCTTTATGGGAGTTGTTGTTGTCGTGGTGTCTCTTAACAGCATTAGAAACCCTAAGACAGCTTTACTGAAACTGAATGCAAAGAACACACTCCACTGAGCAAAGTCATTCTCAGGCAAACACATGGCTCGAGAGTTGCCTTGTTTTCCAGTCCAGGGACTTTTGGTTATAAAGGGCGGGTTCTCTGAAGAACTGGGTATTTCTTGGACTGACCTAAGTTATATAACCTCATGCTTACTGAACATGTGCCTGTCATCCCACAATCCTCTCTGTTAGAGTGAGGAAAATGCTATGCAACTCATACATGGTAGCCCCTAAGTTATAACATCCAAAAGGTCACCTTGAGACACTCTACTTTTTTTGTACACATGTGTCTCTTGGGAATACTCTCCTAGGTTTCACTTCCTAAATGTGGTGTTATTTTTCCTGTTCATTGAAGGGGGCCATCATACGAACCTTAGGGTGTTCACCTTCAGTGCAGGGGCTGATAAAGGCTTGCCTGGGATGGTCTTTCCAGTTGCTGTGTTCTAGAAGTAACTTTGTAGTTCACAGTTCTGCTTTCCTTCCTCAACATCAAGACACAATGTGTTAGCAGCTCCTCAGAACTCAACTAGGTGTCTTGCCCTCTTTCCTACGTGAAATATTCATTATTGTTACTTCTAAATTAATGTCCTTTAAAATGTAACATGAAAGTAATGAAATATGTATTGATTACTTAAGAGTTTTCTTCCTTGATCAACAACATGATTGAGAGTCACTCATCGGGTTCATATTGTCATTCCTTTTTATTTGTGAATTCTCTATTCAGAGTTATACATCAGTAATCCTTTGTGGGTTGTTATGTGTGACGCTAGAGTGAACATAGAGTTACACTGATTGCTTGACACACATAAACATGTATTTCTAGTGTTCACATATCCAAATATGGGATTTCTGAGGTATAGGATATTGCCATAAATTCAACTTTAAACTTTTACATTTTATCTATGCTGTGGTGTGTGTGTGTGTGTGTGTGTGTGTGTGAGTGTGTGTGTGTGTGTGTGTGTGTGTGTGTGTGTGTGTTGGGTCCCATGTACCAGGAAGGGTGTGCAGAGTCAGAGGACAGCCTGCAAGAGTCAGTTCTTTGGATCCCTCTTCTAGGGATCCCAATTATATGGATTTGGGGTCACTTGAAATTGTCCTACAGCTAAGCTGAAACTTGGTAGAAAGGATAACTGGAATCCCCATGGTTGAATTTAGTGTCTAGAAACAGTCAGCCAGAGATGACTCTTGTACCTTGAGTTCTTCACTGCTCACAACTGAAAGAGAAAATGTTAGTGCCATTGGGAGAGAAGTGAGAAGGTGAGATTTTGGTCATGGTTCGCTGAGCTTCCGATGCAGGGTAAAGCCACAAACAAAACTGTTGAGAAGCTAATATAAGCACATGGCTCTCCCTCCTTTTCTATTTCTTCTCTAAATCTTCTGTGATCAACCTTTACCTCAATCCTCTTTCAAAACTGTGATCTTTAATATCATGGGCCAGCTGACAAAACAATGTCTCCAACATTCTCTTCCTCAGCCCTGAGACTTTTGACACGGTAATCACGTCTCACCTTCAACTCTAGTTATTCCCTAACCCTCCTCCACCCCCAGGGGCCACCTTTCCCCTAGACAGGTGTCCATCCCTTGGGCGTTCTCCAAGGTTTAATCTCTGTCGACTTGCCTATCTCCATACTAATCACGGAGATTTCTTCTGTCTCTAGTTACCGACACAATACAATTCCCAAGTCCTCGCATCTCACAGCTACCTCTCAGGGCTTGAAATATATTGTTCCATGCGTTTTCGGGTTTAGGGTTTCTGAGGAGAAATCTGTTGTAGTTCTGAAGTGTTGGCCTATGATCATAAATTGGTATCTTTCTCCTTCAATTCCCCTGGATTTTTGTTTGTTTGTTTGTTTTTTCCTGTTCCTTAGTCTAAGAATTTTAACTATAATGTCCTGTGGAGAAATCAGTTTCAGGTTTTGCCTATTTAGAATTTTAAATGCCACTCACACTTGAATTCCCATCTTTTATATTTAGGGGGAAATTCTGCTATAATTCCATTGAATTGGTTATTTTTCCCTAAATATGTTTATGTTTATGTGAGTGTGAGAGAAAGAAAAGGGGGATGAGGAGGTCAATGGAAAACAGAAAAGGATGAAGAATGCCTTGAAACTGGAGTTCAGATGATTGTGAAGTGTCTAACATGGGAACTGTGTGCGTGTGCCCTCATCTGTGAGAACATGGGCATTGGGAGTGCCATGGAGCGCATGTGGAGGCCAGAGGACAACCCAGAGGGTCACTTTCATCTTCTACCTTGTTGGAGACAGGGTCCCTTTGTTGTTTTTCCGCTGACCATACCAGGCTAACTGGCTTTGAGTGTCTGCTGGGAATTCTTTCTACCTCCCATAGCCCTGTGGGAGCACTAAGATTGATGTTCCTGCCTCAAATCAGGTTTCTATGTGGACTTGAACTCAGGCCCTCGTGTTTGTGCAGTGCTTTTTACCCATCTTCATAGCCCTTTTTATCACTAAAAGTTAAATCAGAAAAATCGCTTTATGAGGGCTGGGTAAAATGCTTGTCCTGTAGACATGAAGACCTAGGCAGCACTTCAATATTTTAGGGAACAGTGTGGTCCATCTTATTCTCAAGCCTGGGTGTTGTTCGCAACCTGGGTGGTTCGTGACTCCTTTGAGGGTCGAATGACCCTTCACAGGGGTTGCCTAAGACCATCAGAAAACACAGATATTTACATTATGATTCATAATAGTAGCAAAATTACAGTTATGAAGAGGGCTCCTGGAGCTGCAGCTACAGGCAGTTGTGAGCCACGAGATCAGAGTGCTGGGGACCAAACTCAAGTCCTCTGCAAGAGCAGTGTGTGCTTTTAAGCCCTGAGCCATCTCTCGAGATTCTTTATATCTCTATTTTGTAACGGTTTATCTAGCGATGGCACCATGGATCCTTCACTTATGGAGTCTAAATTATTTATGCTCACTCAGTCCAAGGACTTTTGTACTTTAAACTTCTACATATTTAACCTCCACAGGAGGGGAGATAAAGATTCCAAGTGGAAAATTTGCCTTTTCTTCTTCTCCTTAGGTACAGGACATGATCCGATTCAGAGACGAGCAGAGGAACATCTGAAGACTAACTCTCGCCAGCACTGTGCTCTGTCACCCACGTCAGCTCTGTGCTCCTCTCTCCCTGGAAAAAATGTGTTTTCAGCAGGCATTGACGGTGACTTTGCCTAAGTGTGTTCTCATTTGTTAGGTTAGAATACATAGAGTGCCTTTGTAAATTTCACATGACTATTAATAGGTATTTCTGGATGATTCCACAAAATGCACACACTATGGCTACCCCTGCATTGACATTCCAATACTGGCTCCCACCGAGCCTGAACTAACATCAGGTCAGGTCTCCAAAGGGGCAAGAGATGGCTTGTAAACACACTCAGCTCTCAGAGAACACGAGAACCGCACACAGCTCTAAGCTGCTCACAAGATTCCAATCAGAAAAAAAAGTGTAAAAAAAAATATTCTTTTAAAAAATAATTATTGGTATTAGGGATGTTTCAGGTTAGCCGCAACATAATATTAGTACCATTTTCCTTCTTATCACTGCCTGCTTCATTCTGCCAGTGGTGAATGAGATTGAATCTTCCCCCGGCTTTTAGCCTACAGTAAAACTCCAGCATGTGTTACTACCCTACACACATCTGGACAGGTGAGGCAATGTCACTTCCTCGTCACCTTTATCCCCTAGAGAAATTTATATCAGGCGGAAAGTGCAACCAGTCCAACTGGTATTTAGCAGCCAAATGCTTTAACTCAGTCTATCTGGTATGAGAGCATCTGGTCAGAAATCATACTTGAGATGACTGCTTGGTTCTATTTTTGTATAGCAAACATCTTAAAGCTTTTCTGTGCAAACATCGATGTGAACTTGACTCTGTATTGTTAGCTAATAACGAGGTAAGATTATGTGACTTTTCACCCTACCAACAATATCATTAGCGTTCCTATAGAGATAACAGCCCCCTCCCACCCCTATGGACTATATGGCAATGAATTATGTTTGTTTGACATTCACACACAAATCTGCTATCCTGGCTCTGACAATGTCTTTCTCATAATTGTGCCCCAACCATTCTTGTATGGTTTCCAGATTATTGAGCTTTTCCTTTAAGTCGTTCATGAACGGTGTGTGTGTTCAAACTCAATAAACGTTCTCTATGCAGATGCAGCTTGTCAGCCTGGAAGCTGGACTGAAAGCTGACCGACAGGCAGTGACCTATGGACCAAACTAGAGTGATGTACACTAATAACCTAAAGCCTGAGAGGCCATCCCTGCTATTAGCGACAGAAATATGGAGGCTACAAGGCCATAGTGTATTAAGTGATGATTCTGTGCCGGGTTGGTGGAGCACACTTTTAATCCTAGCATTTAAAAGCCAGAGAAGGACAATCTGAGGTTCAAGACCAGTCTGGGCTATCTAACAAGATGATCTCATGTGTAAAAAGAAATGAAAAAGGGCTGATAAGATGGCTCAGTGCATAAAGTACTTTCCACAACAGCCGGTCAACCTGAGTTCAATCCCTGAATCCCACAGTCAAATGAAGGAACTGACTCTGGAGGAGAAGAAAAAAAAAAAAAAAGGTCTTCTTTTCCTCTGATCTCCATGCTGTCCCTGTAGCATGTCCCACCATGACCTTCCCCACACATACATTCTACACATGCCACACACACACAGTAATAATAATAATCATAAATAAAATTAGCTTTAAAGCACTGAATTTAGTTTTTTTATGTCTGGTCCTAGTATTAGATAATTTGACCAAGTTTCTACAGGTGGAGCACCTCTGATCCAACCACTCTGGCAGCGGCAGCCACACCCTCAGTTTATCTCACAGCCTTTGTGACCTCCATCGTGAGGCAGTGGACCAAAGGGGGGATGAGCGGGCTGTGATTTCTTCTGCACATAGTCACCTGAGAAAGAAGAGCCACGTGCACAACACTTCCCATGTCGTGACTCAGGCGCTCTACACAAGGCGTCGGAAGCAGGAGGTTAATCAGCAGCAATTCCTAAGTGGCAGGAAGTAGGGCCCCCAGGCCAGAAGTAAGCACTCAGCGCGGGGAATCTGAGTGCAGCCAGCTGGGGAACAGAAGGCGGAGGCTTGGAATTGACCCTCTATGACTAGATGCAAAAATGACAGAGTCGCCGTGTAGAAAAAAAAATGTGGGGGTTGAATGTCTTAGTGGGGAGAAAACTGAGATTCGAACGCACGGTTTATTTTACTTTATTTGGTTTTTCACACAGGGTTTCTCTACGTACATAGCCTCGGCTGCCCTGAAACTCGCTCTGTAGACCAGACTGACCTCAAATTCACATAAATCCCTCTGCCTCTGCCTCTGCCTCTGCCTCTGCCTCTGCCTCTGCCTCT